GAAAGATGTCGCAAAATCAGCTTTGCTGGTCCATACATTCTGGCTTTGACAAGTACGTGAGTTGTGATGCAGAATATGTGGGTGAGGTGATCGAATTCCAAACCCGGTTGCCGGATAACCCAATTAAGGAACTTTAAGGCCAGCTTTCCATGAACAGTTCTAAGCGAAGCCAATTTATAGTCCATGTGATTCAGGGATTCCCAACGATGAATTGTGAGAATTGTGTAGATGCTTTTCTCTATGTCTCGAGCTGTTTCCAACAGGAAAGTTTCAGAAACAGCATAATTGCTTCTAACAGAATCTGAAATAAAAAATAAAATGAGGAAAGAATACAGAGCCTTCTTTAAGCTCCAGACTTACCACTACTGAAGAGCTTTGAAGTTGAAAGTAGACGCACTGAAGCAAATCGCCACTGTGGAAACCGGAAGAGCTTCGAAGATCTACTTAGAGCATAACGGGTGCAAAACCCAAGCGCCATAAAAGAAAGAAGTACGAAGAAATTTAGAAAACAATCTGGATCAACAGAACCCAGAATTTGTTCCCAGATTCACTCACCGAGCTAAAACCCTAAAACCTCGGAAGCTCCAACTTCGAGTGAGAGAGAGAACAGAACATACTAACGTCGGAAGCAGCTCCAATTCACGGGCGAGTATTTTTGCATTTGGCCTGTCCGTACTTTTCCGTAAAAATTAATGACGGTCCGGATCGTCAGTATTTCACTTCGTAAGAATTTTTTGCTAAGCAGAATTTGCGCCATTCACTTTTTTTTTAAATTTCTTAAATTATCTTTACTGTTTAACTAATTATAAATTATATTTTTAATATTTAATTATTATCTTAAATTACCCTCAAGTTTTCTTATAATTGACTAATTATTCTTCTATAATTAGAGTTACGTGTGATTCTATCATTAGAGATGTCCATGATTCAGTTATTTTACAAATCAAATCAATTTTATCAGTTTTTCAATTTCTCTAAACCGAAATCAAATTAATACCACCGATTAACCGGTTCATCGATTTTAGTTTTTGACTGATTCAGTTTTTTGATTTTTCAGATTTTTATATTCATAATATATATTATATAAATATATGTATAATATTATATTATAAATAATAAATAATATAAAATATATTATAAATATTATAAAATATAATATATTTATAAATAGATGATTATAAATATAATATATGTATATATTTATATATACATATATTATAATATATGACATATATTTAAAATATATATAAAATATAAATATAATTAAACATACCGATCAATTTAATTAACCGTCAGTTTTTTTCTAGAATAACCGGAATCCAAACCACTCCTTCAGTTTTTCAAAAATACCAAACTAAATTCGAACCGACCAATTGGAGACAAATGGCGAAGGGGTATCCTGATGGTTGGTAGAGATGGAGAGGAGGAAGTCTTCGATGAGGAGCTTCGGAGCCCACTTGCCGTACCCGATGAGGTTGATGTTGATCGGAGAGGACAGGACAGGACCCATGTAGGTCGGTGACGACCTCGAGTAGTTGCTACGCTATCAGATGAGTTCACCGGAATTTTCGCTATCAAACACCGTTGACGACTTCAAATAGCCCTGTTTTAGAATCTTCGCTATCTACCCCCACCTTTCCATCACCACCCTAGCCGATAGCTATTTACCTTTGAAAATCAGTGGAGAATCGATGATGGGGAGTTTTCTCAGAAATGTTGGATGGCTGAACGGTGGTCATAACAGGTGATTGTGGGAGGAGGTGAGATGGATGTTTTAAAGAAACTATCAAGCTTGAGAACCAAGATAGGTACGAGGGGACAAGAAAAAAAAACAAAAAAAAAAAAAAAACAAAATAGTGAGTAATCACCGAAGATATGAAAGAGAAATCAATTGGGGCCGCTATGGCCGAGTATTAATCACTGTTGTCAATGTGTTTTCGCTACCACTCTATTGTTGTGTCAAAGGATGAACAATTCCCAAGGAGGGACAGGGAGAGAAGGATTTAAGGGTAAAATGGACATTTTCATCCCTTTCGTTATTATTTAATGATTATGGTAATTGTTTGAAACAATAGGGATAGCATGAGACAATAATTAAACAATGGGGATATAATTAATCAATTAGCTAAATCATAGAATTTAAGA